TGAGTAAAAAAAAATCAATCTCTGATCCAAGACATTCACATTTATATAAAACAAAGACTAAAGGTTTTAAAGGTCAGAGAAACTCTTTAGGTCATAGAAATGAAAAGTAACATTTTCATCACACAGAAATAAGGATATTAGAGATTAGAGAAGATGACAGCTTGCTAGGTTGCTGGGTGGACAGCCTCTCTGGAAAAATAGCTCAGACGTTGGAATTTGACAACATGGAGAGGGCTGGACGAGAGGAGAGGGACTCTCATGAACCCAGGAGGAAACTGAAGTTAAAAGAAAAATAGGATGAGGAAGGAAAAATGTAAAGTGGAGGGCTGGAGCCCAATGCGCTCACTGAGACCGGTCCATGCTGTGCTGGGAGCACCATAGAGCCGGGTGATTCAAGGTCACGCTGAAGCCACAGTCACCAATAATGGGAACTGGTAAGTCCCAGGCCCTTGGTGGGAGGATGCGGTGCTGTGTGGAGTGGAGCCAGGTGGAGAACTACATTGATTCCCGGTGAGTGCTGGAGATTGAGTCCTGTGGTGGGTGTCGCTGGCTGGAGGACATCTTGCAGTGGGGCAGAGCCTGGTACCACGGTGGCGTCAGTCAGCTGCCCCTGGCCCAGAGAGGACTGGTGGGATCTGCTTGGGCTGAGCCATGCCCCTGGTTGGGACTCAATAGCCAGGGACAAAACTGTCCCAACCCTGTGACGTCTGCAAAGCACAGGCTAAGTTGCTGAAGGCACTTGCAGGTTGACTGGCTCAGAGGCTAGAGGCTATCCTGCATCGTCCCTGCATGCACCTCAGATAACAGCAAATTGGAGAGGCAGCAAAACCCCAGTCAGCATGCTTCAGAAAAACTATAAGCAATACGGAGAGGGACAGGGACCTCCGTAACACACCTGTCTGAAAGAAACTAGAAACATGACAAGAGATAGAAATAAAAAAAAAAAAACCCTCCAGCCGCTGACCCTGGGAAAATAAGCCCAGGAGAGCTAAATACGAAAGCGAACCAACGCAGCAATCATGCCATATTAGCCACACCATCAGCAGACATAAAGAAAGACCTTCGTAACCTCATAGATGAACTTAAAACTGAAATTCTAATCCAAGTGAGGCAAGATATAAAAAGATTAATTAAAGAAATGCTAAGCCCCTCCCAAGAAAACACAGATGGAAGAATGGAGGAACCCAGAAAAGGAAGAGAAACCTTTGATGAAGAATATAAACAAAACCTAGAATACATGAAACAGATACAAAGAGATTTCCAGGAAACTAAATACTCCATTGAAAGCTGGCAAAATGCCTTGAAAGAAACTAAAGTTAGCCTTTTAAAACTTGAAGAGAGATTTACAATGTGTGGTCATGAAAGAAAAGATCTCTTAAAAATAACAAGGAACCAGGAAGAAACAATTCAAAGGCTACATGACTAACTGAAGAATAAAAAACATGAGCAAAGAAGCAGGAGTAACCACAAATGAATTACAAAGACTATTCACAGATATAATTAAGGAAAACTTCCCAAGCATAGGAAAAAGAAATGATATCCAGATAAATGAGGCATACAGAACTCCAGCCACCTACAACCAAAACAGATCTACACCCAGACATATAATAATCAAGATCTCACAAATCTACCACAAGAACAGAATATTAAAAGCAGCCAGAGAAAAGAAGCAGATCACCTACAAAGGAAAAATCATCAAAATAACAACAGACCTATCAACACAAACTCTCAAATCAAGAGAAGCCTGGGGGAAAATAGTCCAGCCCCGAAAGAAATAATCTCCAACCCAGATTGATATACCCAGAAAAACTCTCTCCTGAAATTAATGGAGAAATAAGATATTTCCAAGACAAGGAGGAACTGTGGGAGTTCATGGCCACCAACCCAACCCTACAAAAATACTGAAGAACATTCCAGACAGAGACAGAAAAAAAGTCCTACAATGTCTCCAAAGTTGTGTTTTTATTAAAATAGCTATGTAATGCTATGTTCAATTGTATTATGTCTGATGATGTAGACAATTCTATTGAAAATAACAAGAGAAAGCCTAGTAATTACTGTAGATCACTTAATATTGTGGTCTTATATGTCTCTTTCATTTCATGTTTTTCTAGGAATTCATTTTGTCATTTTGTTGTTATGATCTGTTTTTCCCTATAATACAGAAAGGATAGAGATACATGTAGAGATTCATACATGGGGAGAATTTCTAAACTATTTACGGGGACAGATTATATAATGCACAATATAATGAACATATACTCTGAAGAAAAAGAGACACTAAAAAACCCAGTGCTAATTTTGTAGCATTATGATATAAAATCTAGCAATACTATTATTCACTGTTCAGAGTGATATTAGTCTAGTCTCTTATGTTCAGTTTCAGCATACGTAAAGATAAGGACAGCTACCTCAAAGAGAATGAGACATTATGGCAGTCGTTGTTGACTTCTCCAATGTCAGGTCTTGAAGACCTAAAAAGCCTTCATCATCCTGTAATGATTTAATTAGTTCTATAATGTTCAGTATATATTCAATGTGTGTGAAGATGGGGACAACTATTTGGAAGAAAACTGGAGACAATAAGATAGACAGTGAAGATCTCCAGTGGACTTGCTTTGAAATCTGTATTTCTTTAAATTTTTTCCTTATGATCTGTTTTGTTGTTTAATCTTACCCTCTTTAAATTAAAAAAAAACAAACAAAAAAGAAGTAAGGATATTACAAAGTGTTTCCCATTTAACAGACAATGTGGTATTCACACGTAAGATTTTTGTTCAGTATCTTGATGTGGGTGGTAGTTTTACTGTTATAAACAGATACATATGGATAGATATATATTATATATCTATATCTTAAAACATTTAAAATTAGTGCATTTTATATACTTAAAAGTTCATTGAGCATTTTATATACTTAAAATTTATTTTCTTTAATCTTCAATTAAAGAAAATACATGTAGCAAAACAAACACAAATGCTGGTAAGGCTGCAAGAGAAAAACTCTTCTACACTGCTGATGGGAATGTAAATTAGTACAACCACTATTGAAATCAGTATAAAAATTGCTCAAAAAAGCTAAAAATATACATTCCATTCCACCCAGCTATAACCCTTCTAGGTATCTTTCTGAAAGAGTTAAAGATGAATTATAGTGATACTTGTATAACCATGTTTATAGCAGCATGAGTTGTAACAGCTAAATCTCAGAAGCAACTTACATGTTCTTCAATAATGAGTGGATAAAGAAAATGTGGTATTTATACACAGTGGAATACTACCTTGCCATAAAGAAGGATAAACTTAAGTTATTTGTAGGAAAATGGATGTACCTTGAGACCATGATGTTAACTGAAATAAATCAGACATAGAACCTTAAATATCACATAGTTTTTTTTACATGAAAAAAACAAAATACAAGTAAAATAAAAAATAAATAATAGGAAACAGCTCTTTTGCAAAAAGGAGGTGAAGGGAATGAATACATAATTAAAATGTTACATGCATATACCAACTCTTCATGATAGATGCAATTAATATACACTGCAAACATTGAAAAAAATAAAGGACAACTATGAACAACTTTATACCAACAAATTCATCAACTTAGATAAAATGGACAAGTTTCTTGAAAGACAGTAAATACCCAAAGCTCACACAAGAAGAAATACATAACTTAAGTATTCCTATACTGATCAAAGAAATTGAAATTGTGGTTTAAAATGTTCCCACAAAGAAAGCTCCAGGCCTTGATGGTTTTACAAGTGTCTATGTAAAATCTTTCAAAAATTAAAGAGGAAAGAATACTGTACTTCCCTGCTCATTTAATAAGAATAGCAGTAGGCTGAGGTAAAAGCCACATAGATGCTATAAAACAACTAGAAGAGAAAGAATCAAACATTAACCCTGTTTTTATGAGTTCATCCAGCTGATAAAAGAATATGCTTTATAAAAGCTCAGCCAACAGATACATAGAAATGATACAATTAGAAAATGGACATTTTCAAAACTCAAAAAAATTGATTTAGTAAGAGTCCTAACTGTATGTCAAATCTATATGTTAACTGAAAGACTTCAGAGGAACAGTGTTTGCAAGAAAAGGTCCTTACCATAAAGAGATCCAGTGTGATTTTGTTTGTTTGTTTGTTTTTGTGACAGGGTCTTACTCTGCAGTCCAGGCTGCCCTTGAACTCAGTACATAGCCAAGGTTGGCCTTGAAGTCATAGCTCTTCTCTTGCCTCAGCCTGTTAAGTGCTGAGATTACAGATGTGAGTCACCATGCCCAACTCGAACGGCATTTTTAACCAACTGATGAAATCTGGCATTCCTAACTATAAAGCAACTTGACATTATATGCCTCTTAATATGATTTCCCCCATAAAATATCCTTATCAAACATTTTTAATTTATGTAAGCCTTTACATCAAACTCTTAAGTTTACAGGGTACAGAATGATACCAACAGGAAATAGGCAAATACAAATAGGAGCATTTCTTCTATACTACTTTCCTGTAATTTAGTTTGAGTCGTCTCCTCTCCTCTCCTCTGTCTACCCCAGCCTCTGTCTTGGCTTTGACAAGTGTGGCAAACACTGATGCACTATACACAGCACAAAGACTATTACTGCTTTACTCTTTTCATGGATTGGTCTTACACTAGACCTGTTGGCACACTGACAAAATTTCTTTGCAAAAGAAATGAAAATGTTTGGAGAGGTGAAAAAGTAGTAAGAGAATATCTGCAGCAAAGATGAGCAAAGTCTACATATAGAAGGTAGAGCCACAGTGGTGAAGGAGATAAAGCTAGAAGCTAAAAAGAGTCACTTTAGTTAAGGTATAACACAATTTCTAAAGTAAGGTAAGGTCAGGGAATGCAGCTATACCAACGGATTATAAAGAAACCAGGTATGAGAATGATTCTTAACTCACATATAGAAATTGACTCCCTGTTCCCTACAACCTTCTTAATTTCATAATGAAACACAAATTAAATTAACTTCACCTTTCATAGTGAAGAGATTGCGAAATGTACTACACAGGAAGAAAACTCCACCACCATGCATGTCAATGTGGAGTTGGTAGCCATGCAGTCCATACTCTGGGTTGTCATCCAGAAAAGGAACGTGAGGAGGCAGCTCATAGGGGCTGAAAAGCAAAGCACAAACACAGATTTGTCAACCCCAGGGGTAAAATACTTGGATTGGAAATATTTCTTTAAAAAAAATTAGCACCCATTCAAAGCACTGACTCCTTCCAATGAGACACTACAACAATTTCAATAATCTCCCATTTAAAGAATTCCAAAGGACTTCTCTTACCAACTACTAAAAAAATAGCCACAAATATGAGTTCTAAAGGCAACCATAAGACTACCAGACTTCATATGTTTCTACAGTTTTTCTACAGTGTTTCTACAGTGAATGTGTTTCTGCAGCAATTACACAAGTCACTCCGACCCCAGTGTACTTCTTATGACTAGGATTAGGATATATTCACCAGGAAAATGCACCAAACAACCTATAGGTAGGCATCTGGGTGAAGACTCAAGCTAAGATGCACAAAAGCTTGTTCAACAAGAATTTACCATGTAAGGTAACACCACGTAAGGCAAGGCATTCAGGGGCTCTTCAGTCAACAGAGACGAATGTGGGTGAATCTATATCCACAGGTAAAGGGTGACAGCTATAGGTAAATGGAAAGTATATTCCTCACCTAATAACATTTGAATGTCTTAAAAGACAACCAAATAAAATACATCTGCAGACCAGAGTCTATGTGCCTTGCAAAATATAAAAATTCACATAAGTATAAGATTTTGAGTGATGCAGAGGTAGCATCTTGTAGTAATGAAGCATTCCTGCTTATATAAATATTTTTCTAGGCATAAATTCCTAAGCCAAAATAAACCAAATATATCATCATGAATAATCCAATTATAATAATATCAGCTAAGTAATTACACATGTTGGTCTGTGTCTAATGATTAAAAACAGAGTATTTTGGGGGCTATTCTCAGGATATTTAGATGACAGCAACTTCTAACATTCTGTACTAATATTCCAAATTTTAATTCACCCACATACAGATACATACACAGTGGCCGAGCCTAATGTGCTCCTCTCCACGAGATGATGGAAATGAAGATTTGCCATGACAAAAGCCAGTTCTTCCTCCTTCTGAAAGTTAATTTAAAAGAATACATTTTTCAACTGAAATATTTTAATTTTTCACAGTCATTGTGAAGATTGCAATACATTCATCTTGCAGATACATGCAGTTTCTTACAGCTATTAGATCATCACATTAGTAAGTACTAAGGCATTACTACTGCTAATATATTATTACTATCTAATAAGACTTGCATGTCATACTGACAGCAGGGTATGCAGTACCAAAAGAATTAATAACCTCATATCCTGATTTAATATTTTGAAATATCAAAATATTATATATGACTCCAAATATATATATATATATATATATATATATATATATATATACTGTCAATTTCATGCTGTTTTGAACTCTTTCAAAGATAAACACTGGAAAGACCTTCACAGACCCCAGATACCAGATTATTTCCATAAATACTGAACATTATTGGCCTAACTATTCCTTTCTCTAGCTGCTTAATTCTTCAAAGACAGTGGAAGTGATGAGATTCAGCTTCCTCACATGCCCATCAGGTTGAACAGCAGAAAATGAGACTATTTGGGAGCTGATCCATTCCTCCCCAGACTCATAACTAACACAAGCTGGTGTGAGGACCTCCAAAGGGCAACCCTGAAAGTGCCATTTTACATAAGCCAGGCAGAGGACAAACACAGACAGTTCATGTAGCTCTGCAGGCCAACACAGATCAATGATTCAGGTCATAAAAGCAGAACAAGCAAACTGCTGCTTCACTCACATGTCACTTTCATACAGAAAAGAAGGAAGAAAAACTGATTACCACAGTTGACTGAGAAAAGAAAAAGATACCAGTGAATAACACTGCATAAAGCTGTAAATCTCATTGTTGTTTTGTTTTGTTTTGTTTTGTTTTGTTTTGTGGTACTCATGATCGAACTCACAACCTTGCACTTGCAATGCAGGTACTTATGCTGCTGAGCTAAATCCCCAGCCCCAAAGCTGTAAATCTTGATTCTGGGTAGTCACTGAATATAGAGTCACAGTGCTATTCTCGGTATTAAATTTGTGAACTATTCTCTTAAAACATCCATAGCCAAAGCCACTGACTTAACCCAACTCTAGTATACAGAAGTCCTTTATGCTATTTGGCTTTTCACTAAGTGACTACCCAGAAAATAACTCCGAGAAAGAGTTAGCAATCAGTCTTTTGAAATAAGAAACCTATTTAGAGAAAAAGGATAATTCCTAGATGCTCAGCCCTGAAAGGCAGGGCATATCCCATGCCATCTCCACAGGTCAGAAGCATGCTTGTGAGATGACCACAGTGAACATCCTAGAGAAGAGCTGTAGCAGAGAAAGGACAGGAAGAAACAGAAGAAACAAAACGATAGGAAGGGGAAACGAGGCCGTTCTATAACATTAAAAAGATATAGCATTAATGAAACAGGAAAGCAGAAGTGACTGCAATCTGTGATAGCAACAGAACAATGGAACAGAGGGGTCATGTGGGTCATATAGCTAGGAAAATAAGATTGGTAAAGAGGTAGCTACTGAAAAGTCTTCAAAAGGAGTTTCATTTAGTCTCATACATAACTGGGAGCAACTCTTGGGCTATGATGATGAAATGGTACAATACATGCAAGATTCCATCTTACCTTCCATACCCCTACCACGAGACCAGGGTCTAGGCTGAAGATTCGAATAAGTCTGTCACAGCCAATCATGGTTGATTCATTTAAATGTCTTAGATCATACTTTGCAATTAAAGAATGCCATCGAGGTCTTTGAAAATCCATGTCACAGAAAGGAGAGAGAGAAAAATGAGCATTACTGTCTGTACCATTGCCAATTCTCAGTAGTGTGCATAAAATTGTTAAAGAACAAACTATATAAACTCAATTGCTCAATCATGCAGTGAGAACACAAAAACTTACATAAGTAAAAATTAAAATGGAGTCACTTAAATTTCTCAATCTATGTTTTTCTTCCCTTCCATTTTGTTCTTATTTCAACTCAACAACCTAGCCAGAGGTAGTTCAAGAATTAGGATGGTGATGAAATAACAATATCGTCTTCAAACCCCCCCCCCCGCCACAAACACCCAGGACAACAGTACAAGCAATATTCAACACTCAGTGTGTATTCCTACCTGACTGAAATACTGCATAAGCAAAGATAAAATAGTTTAACATAAAAAAGCAGGTGGTCTCGGTAGGTTATCTACCGAGTAGAAGTGCCATTCAAAGTTATTTTAAAGGACAATTCAGAGAAGTGAAAATGGAAACATTAGAAAATAAATTTAAAATAAAATCAGGAGCATTTTCACGAAGGAGGCACACTGTGAACTCACAGTCTCAAGTGTCTAAGAATAAACACTCAAATGTGTAAGCAAAGAGAATCTGACTCTGCCCTTCATCATAAAACTTAAAGATATCTACAGTGAAACATCCTCAAAACACTATGAGTGGTAGACACAGATGTCTGTCTTCTCAGGGATGACATGCTTCTGCCTGTCAACTAACAGAAGACAGCATTAGACCAAAGACCTTAAGGGGTGGGGGCCAGAGTCCAGAGTCTGCCCTTCAGTACCTAATGTACAGGCCAATAGGTGGTAAATATGCAGATGTTCAATGAAAAAATTTAAAAGGTCAGTATGGCACTGTTTCAAACCAAAGTGAAGGCTATAAGATACTACAAATTCACAGCTTCAATACTGCTGATTTTAGTCTTTCAAAAGAACTATCTGTGTTAAGACCTATAGCCCAGTAAGAAGAGATGGTCAATGAGCATATATATGTATATAAGCTACAAATGTACTTATCAAATGTGCTTAGAAGAGGATGAACACTGAGCTAGTGAACTAATGGTGGATTCTGGAGAAACAGAAGTGAAACCTTACATCCAATAGACAGTGACTGCATGCCACCTCAAACTAGTGTTCCCTCTGTGTGTGAAATCACCAGCCTCCTCAGAGCAGAGACTGGAAATTAAGGAGAAAATGTCATGAGTCCTTAGCGCACATAACAATAAATAGTGGCCATCGTCATCATTATTAAGGTAGAGAAAAGTTAGGCAGGGATGTAAAGAATCCTCTCCTCTTACTTTTCAATGTATCCAGACATAGAAGACACACAAGTCTGGCTGTGGAGGCATTTAAAGATACTCTGAAGATGTGAAGCATCCTTGTTTGCCTTGGTCTTACAGACCACTGACCCATTCACAAATGTGGGGAGGCACAAGATCCACTGCAAAATGGAAAACGCAAAATGAAAAAAACTTAGAAGTCCAAATAGACAGAAATGTTATAGGGAAATTCAATTTGCAAGTCATATCAGTGGTCTTTCACTGTTCCTGAAAAAAAAGTCCTCAACAAGGAAACAAAAAAGACCCAAATAAAAGTCAAACATGCTTTCTTGGCCATCACACAATTACAAACAAGGATCTTCACTCCTGCATGATGAATGTGTTGGCTCACAAACTTGCACTGAAAGACCGATCAAAATACATTCCTGAAAAATACTTCTAGAGTTGTTTAGGACAGTTGATCCAAGACTGGCTGAAGTCTATATGGTTGTAATGAAAATAAATTACATGAAATGAATCTCCCCAATAAATTTTCCAGCATTTGTCACTACAGGAAATACTATTCCTGAACTTGATGATTTTCTGGAACATAGTTTTTAAGTAAGCTTCACAGTTCATTACCCATTTAGTCTTTCACAATCACTTTAATTAATGTTAACAATTATGTCCCAATGCTTATAAACAACAATTCATGATATACCAAGTAACAAAATATGCACAGAATTTGTGGACTCCCCCCACAAATAATTTCATAGTGTATAAAAACCAAAGACTAAAAACCTAGTGTTCAGCATACTACCTTATAAAATTTCAGATTTATCTCAATAATGGGACTATTTAAAAAGATAACTGTCCCAAAATATTTTTAGTAATATAATGATTGACAAACAAAACACTGAATACATTTCAAAAGACAATGAGACCTAAACCTGCTCAAAGTATCCTCACACTGCTGCAAGAGGACAGCTTAGTGATCACTAAACACTCTCAAAGAGCCAACACCAGAGAAGAGCTGGACACAGGCCATTTCTAGGGAACCCATGAAAAAATGCTATCTTTCCTGGGGACAGCCAGTACTAATGTCAGACATCAACACCTTCCACGGCAAGGACAGATGTGAGAGACTCATGAACAGAACTGCAGTAAGAAAAGACAAAAAGGAAACTGATGAGGAAAATGCCACTGGAGATTTGTGGACCGCAGAGGGAGAGATCCAGGCCTCACAAGCAGGTGACTCCTGCCTGGAAACCAGCACCATGGGTAGGCACAGAGTGGAGACAGCCAGACCCAAGCCTCATTCTCTGTAAGTCAGCTCCATTCATGGACTGCAGAGGGAGAGAACCAGGCCTTACCAGGAAATGATCCCAACCTAGAAACCGTATCATTTCATTGTTTCATTGGGTTGGGTTTTATTCTCTCTTGTTTTGTTTGATTATGCTAAATCTGATGGCATGAGCAGCTATTTAAAAGACAGTAAGACGTATTATGGCAGTTATTTTGGATTTACTATCAGCTTATTTTGAAATCCTTTGTCATACTCATTGTTTTGCTTTTACTATTTGTATTCTATTCTGTACTGTTCAATTTTTACTATGTCTGAAGGCATCTGCAGCTATTTTGAAGACAACAAAAGGCATAATACAACTATTGTTGATTTCAGAAGGTTTTAAACTCCTGTATCACTTATACTGGTTTGTTTTGATTGGTTTATTCTGTTTTATTTTCCTTAGTTTTATCCACTTTAAAATTAAAAAACATGAAAAAAGAAAACACTGGAAATTCAAAGGACACTGAGGTAGTGAAGGAAGCAAGAGGAAAGGCAAGACACTAACTATAGAGAAATTAATTCTATGCAGATATTACTTCTGCCTTTGCCATAGATTTTCTACAAAAATTTATTATCTTGTTTGGGAAATAAAGAAGTTACACATGCCATCATCTAGCTGTTAAAAGAAAATAATTGAGAGTGACAAAGCAAGCATAAGAGATTTTTAGTAAAGACAGAATTGAGCCTTTTAGTGAATATGGACTCTTTATGAAGTCATCTAACTACAGGATAATAATAGGTGCAATGGGATGCTCACTGATCTAATCTATGCATTTTACAATGCTATCTTTGATCTTCACAACACATACATGTTAAATGCTACATAACCATTGACATCAACTCATTTTGCACATGTGAAAATGAAAGCACAGAAAGAATTATATACACCGGTCATATATCCAATAAGTTCAAGAGAAAGGCACATAAAATAACTGATAACTATGCTTGCAATCTCATATGTAAATGACAATTAGTCTACCACTTACTGAAGAAAAACAATGTAATAGCCTGATATATCTTTCTATTAAAACAATTAAAGCTAAAAACTTCAAAAGGTTCCATCAATAATTCAGCAAACACTGTTAACTAGTGTACCACGTTTTACTGTTACAGTAACCATGATAGATGAACCTAAATTTAAACCTAACCATAAGTGCAATAAACCTATTTTTTCTCAATTCCATTGTAATAGAATGACAGAAAAGTCTTAAAGATGCAATCAAATTAATTTATATTTTTTAATTACAAAAGAAATGCTACTTAATATTTGCCTGTAAGATGTTCTCATTAATAGTTCTACTGACAGTACTTACCCATGTTTGGCATAGGCTTTATACCGGTCCATAAAAACTGGTGTCATACCACACAAATTCAAGGTTATCAGTGTAGCTAAACAAGGCCAATTTTTGCCATACCACACAACAGTAACAGATGTATCATTTAAAGAAAAATCAACATGGGGAATGATATATTCTCTTCCATTTTTTTCTTTCAATATAATTCCCCAACCTAAGCCAGATAGTCTGCAGAAAGAACAGAAATGTTATTTCATTGCAGCAGAAAAAAATGCTAAAGGCAATTTTATATATTATCTCCAAAGCATTTATTTCCTTAAAAGTCAAAATTCTCAGAATACAGCCAACATAATTTTTAGTATGTCAACTTTTCCTTCTATAGACTTCTATAGACTTCTATAGACCTCCTCACTTAACACTCACTACACATCTATGATGTTCCAGGAACCAGCACTACACTGATAAGTAAGTATGCCCAGGAGGAAGAACACCTTGGACATCCTACAGCAGATCACTATCCTGCTTTACATATAAGACCATGTATCAGGGACAGGAAAACAGTGTGTGTGATATAGATAGATACACAAAAATATGCAAGACAATCCTACACAACCTAAGCTGTACAACTATCCTACGTACATAACTCTCTGAGCTGACACTGTCATTCTTTTTCAAAGTGGTTATAAGCTAAAAGGTTTCACAGTCCTGATCAGGAGCGTGAGAAGCCACTGTGCAAGAACACACCACATACCTGAGAGCCTCTTTGATCTTCACGGGAAGGCCTGTGTAAGGGCTGACAGGTTTGAGAACCTGGGTTAATGCTGCTTTCACAGATGTGATCTGTTTTGTAATATAGGTTTTCTTCCAATATCCAGCTTCCTTATCCTCAACGGACAGTAAGCTCACAGACACAGCTGTTTCCTCTACTGAATTAACTTTCCAATTAGATCTTTTAGGTGAAAATGCTGTTGCATAGATTCTGACCCAAATAAAACTGGAGGAAAAAGAGAAAATAATAAGAAACACTTCTAATAAGAAACACTGTCTACAGTAATAGTAATAATTAAATTATAAATACACAGTAATTTTTAAATAGTCCAATTATAAGAATAAGTCAAGCTGTGTATATGTCAAAGTGAACTGAAGTTTGAAACACAGTATTTTAAATTCACCAACCCCTAAAACATACTTTTAAAAGCCTATTTCTGAGCATCAAGTTTAAAGTGAGCAATCTCATGTTATACGGGATTGTTCAATTCTGTGCCATCCTATTCAATAATTAAAGAGACAGTCTGTATGGTACTATACTAGAAAAACAACAAAAGTACAAAAATAGTTACTCTTGTTTTACATATACATGCTTTTGAAAAGATCAGAAAAGATATGTAAATACACAAAGAAATATTAACAGTGAATAAATGAATTATACATTGCTTTTGCTTCCTATTTTTTAATTTTTCACCAATGAACATGCATTGCTTTCCCAAATTTTTTTGAGCGAGCATTTGTAATAACAATGACAGGGGTTTTTTGAGCACATGCTATTTGGTGAGTGCTGTTTTAAGCACTTCATAAACATTAAGTCATTCAATCTTCACAATAAATACATGAGGAGCTACTCCTTTTTCTGCATTGTACAGCCGATGTAAAGTGTTCCAACCCAGATGAGTGCATTCAAGTGTGTGATGAAACAGGGTTTTGCACCCATGCAGAGTTCAGTCTTTCCCCTGTACTTCACTATCTCCTCAGTAACACAAAGAGCTGGGTTTAAAGCAACTAAATGAGCTATCCAAATTCAGTTGGTAAGTCACGATGGTGGAATTCAGATTCCTCTTGGACAAGGTCTGAGCTCCTTTCACTCACAGCTGCCAAGAGGTTGTGAGAAGCCCTGCTGTGTTGGGGGCTTAAAGTTGGACTAATGGCTCCTCAGTCTGAGCCAATACTCTACACAGGGGAAGAGAATTAACATTTAGGGAAACCAAGGCAGAGTTTAGAATCAATTTCCTAATCTGAAAAGAGAACTTCACATAAGTAAAATAAAATCATTTGCCAATTTATGTATCCACATTTCTATTTAAAGAAGTTTGGCTGCTGAGAGAGAGCAATTCCCCTATTGAGGGTAACACTGAACTGCAGATGGAGACACCACTATTTCATTTGCTGCAGCAGGAAAGGATCTTTGCTTAAACACAGGACTTTAGATCAAATCTCTCTGATTCAGATGTTACATGGTTTCTCAAAAAACATGAACTCACATGTCACATACCTATTGATTTCTCTTTCTAGCACTGATTTTTCAAATCATTCCTCACACCAAAAAATCATTTCATACCATCATTTATATTTTGAGTTCAGAAATGTCTGGTCAATCATATGTAAAGCAATGATTAGTGGAGTCTATGTAGGAAAATCTGAAACTGTTTCACCAAAGTCTCTTTTTTGTTTGTTTGTTTTTGGTTTTGTTTTTGTCTTTTTCATTTTTATCGGTACCGGGCATCGAACTCACGACCGCCTGCTTGCAAGGCAGGTGCTTATGCCGCTGAGCCAAATCCCCAGCCCCTCACCAAAGTCTCTTTAATAGACACCTTTAAAAACTCCCTGCGCTAGCCAGGCATGACAGCACATGCCTGTAATTCTAGCATTCAGAAGACTGAGGCAGAAGGATTGCTGTGAGTTTAAGGCCAGCCTGGGCTACAAAGTGAGTTCAAGGCAAGCCTGAACTGCATAGTGAAACCCTGTGTCAAAAAGACAAAAGAAAGAAAAACAAAAACTCCTGGTGCATAAAATCTTATTTGTGCTTTGTTCAGAATTATTTTACTCATCATCTCATTCTATTTAAGTGTTCCCTTGGTTTACCAAGACCTTGAAGGAACTTTACATTTCTCACATCACCACTACCAAACTGCCACTGATGCGACTTTTATATGCCCCAGTCCTTACAAACCACAAGAGTGAGCACCACCATGGAGAGGGGTGACAGCAGCAATCATCCACCACGCACAACCAGCAACGGTGATCACATGTACCCTGGGTGAACGATGAGCTGCATTCAGAGAACTATCACAGTTAATTTACCACAATGCAGCCTAAATAAAAATATTTTATATCACGGTGTAAAATATTGTATTAGCTGTTCCCCTTGATTATTTATAAAATAAAAATGTTAAAAAAAAAGAGTAAATGCTAAGTTTAAAATGTTTTTAACACTACCACAGCATTACAGTTTTGGCCATTTGGCTGACTTTCCATGAAAAATGCCTCATTGTGTTTTGCTTCAGTGAACACCTTCATCTCTTTCCATATGATAAAAAAAAAAAAAACTCTACATTCATTCTACAATTACCAAAAATATATTTCATAAAAAAATTTGAAATTTCATAAAAAATGATTATTTCATATTTTGTTTGTGAGTATTGATATGGATGGGTGAACATAAGACATTCTCCTACATAGAAAAGATCTTTTTAAGCTAAAAAGTAGGAAATATCATCCTTCTCAACCAGAAAACAGTGTATGTCCACCTTCTGAGTATGACATAATTGAAGACAAGGTCAAAGGGACATGAGAGCTTATTCTTAGTTTCTTACCCAAGTGGTAAACACATAAAATAAAAAAATGCACTGTATTGGTAATTTCAGAACCTCACTATTCATTGGCATGACCTGAAAAATATCAAAAATCCAGATTCCAGAGCACTACATTACAACCTTCAGAAATGTAAGATAGGAGTCCAAGTTTTTAAACTTCCCCAGCTGGTTCTGATTCAGTCTTTTATAGACCAGAATTTGAGAACCACTGTACCATTTAACATTTCTTGCCCACTGTCTTAGTTATTTTCTCATTGCTGCCACATAATATCAGACACCCACAACTTAGAAAAAGGAAAGGTTTATTTTGGCTTGTAGCTTGTAAAGGCTTCACTTCCTTGTCACCTGACTCCAACACAAGGCAACATGGCAGAAGAGAATTGTTCATGGCATACCAAGCAGGAAGCAGAGAGAGATCAAGGAGGGTGCCCATGACCCAACTTCTCTCACCCAACATCACATTAGCTATAAATTCATCAGTAGACTAATCTACTGATGACTGTCATGTTCCCCATGATCCCATCACTGGCTCCCAAAAGCCCTACCTGTGAGTACACTTTGTATAGAGAGGTGCATGTGGCTTTGAGGGGACATCTAGATATAAACCATAGCATTCTGCCCCTGGTCCTCTAAAGACTCAAGCAAATCACTATGCAAGATGCATTTAGTTCATTGCTAAGAGTTGCCCAAATCCTAATAATTTTAGCACTGCTGAAAAATCTAAGTCCAGAGTCTCCTCTGAGATTTAAAGCAAATTCTTAGCTGGGCACCCCTGTAAAAACCAAAAGAAAATTAAAGACTTCCAACACACAATAGCATAAGATAAACATTCCCATTCCAAAAGGCAGAAATAGGAGTATAGGAAGGAGTGGGACCAAAAAAGACCAAAATCCAGCAGGGCAAGATTATACCCCACATTTTTACATCCAGCACCCTGGTCAAATTGTGGTGAAATGTGAACTCCAAAGAACTTGGGCAGCTCCACCCCTATGGCACTGCTGGTGGTAGCTAGAACCCTCATGGTTTCTCTCTTTGGCCAGTTTTGCTTCTTCCTTATAGCTGCCCTCAGACAGTCCAAGTTCCTGGCATTATCAACATCCTGAGATCTTCGCTGCACTTCTGGCTTCACTCTCATAGCTTTACAAAATGCCCCTGCAGGATGACACTTTCTGGCCTCCCAGGCCGTCTCTGGAAATCTGGGTGGGAGCCTCCCTGACCCTACAACTCTTGCATATGCAACTCTGCATGTGAGTTAAACCAATACCACATGGATGATACCAGGTCTGCCACAAGCAAGAGCAGCAGCTGAGCCATTTTGCACCTTGCTTGTGACTACGAAAGCCTCTAAGTGCTGAGCATGGTTACGAATACCAGGAATCAATTTCTGTTCTTTAGGCTATAGTTATTTTTGAGCATCGTTTTCTGGGGTTCTCTTCTCAAAACAAAGTCTTTCATCTTTGCAATTTTGAGCCTTTGAAGGGTAGGATATTGCTGCTTCCCCATATTCCCTTAAGGCGTTTTTGAATGATGTAGATTTGAGGTCCTGACTTCTTTTTAATGCTAATCTTTTTAGTAACCACACTCTCTCTTTACAGGCCACAAAGAGTTTCCTTTTGGGTCAAACTCAACAGTTTTAAAATTATTTAGCTGGGTTATTTGCTCTTGATTTTTAATACAGATCTTGCTAAAGGCTCCAAACAATACCTACGCCACAGCCTCTGTATTAGGCTGCCTTGAAATTTCTCCTGCCTGATTAATTAGCCTGCAAATTAGCTCCTAATCTCAGTTCTCCACAAAGTCTCAGGACATGAACAAAATCCAGATAAATTTTCTGCCAGTTCCTAACACACATGACCAAAAGTCCTAACTGCTCAGTGGAGTTCCCAACTGAAACCTCGTAAGCCTGGTCTTTATTGGTTGTATTACTATCAAGATTCTGGTCTTCAGAATTCTCATTGGAACCTTGCATCAAGCTCAACTCACAGAATTCTAGGGCTGCTTCTCTAGCTGGCATGTCTAAACCTTTCAAACTCCTCCCATAAGCCAGTTCCAAAGGCTTCTGAACCACATGGTCAGGTAGCATCACAGCAATGACTCTACTTCTCTGGTACTGAAAATCTATCTTACTTCCTCATTGATGGGACACAATACCTGGTATCTGTAACTTAAAAGATGAAAGGTTTATTTTGGCTCACAATTTGTAGAGGTTTCAGTGCTTAGTCAGCTAGCTCTCTAGCTGCACAGCAGGCAGAGAAGAATTGCTCAGGGTATGGTAGCAGGAAGCAGAGATCAAGAGAAAGGGGAAGGAGATAGACCCCTCAATGCTACAGCCTCACTGATCCACCTCCTTCCAGTAGGCTGCATCTCCCAGCATCACATTCACTATAATTCATCAGCGGACTAATCCACTGATGAGTGTCACACACCCATGCTCCATGCACACACCCAAAGCCCTACCTAAAAGTGCATATGGCTTTGCAGTAACGTGTAGATACACCATAACACCCACCATGTTCCAAGACTTATTAGAGCACTTTTGTTGTCATTCTTCATTCACTTCCTTACCTATTAACAAAACCACCATTAAAACTTGCATTCTCTCTTACTTGGTGTTTTCTCTAATGCTATGTAGGCTCTTTAGAGGACCAATATTTGTATAATTTTTTGATGTTGAATGAGAGAGTAGTCTTACAAAGCCAAGATCTTCAGCTATGGGCACAAAAAGCTCACTAGCAGTAAGGGAGATCCCATCATCTCTCTACACAAGACAAATTTCTCAGGTACAAAGATCATGATAAAAAAAAAAAGTAACAGGAGTTTCTCCTCTTTATTCATATATACCCATGGAGCACAAGTGGAACTGACTGTCTTCTTCCAAAGGTAACAGCTCTAGAAGACATTCTGGACCTCTCTCCTCCTCTCCATCACTCAGGAGCTAAGTCTATTTAACTTGTCCTAAGCTTCTTCTTTCTCTAGGATCTGCTTGACTTCCAACAGAAAGAACAAAATCTGCTACAGGAACCCAGGTCCAGGAACAATGGGGCCCTGAAGTATGTTTGAGATTGTATAGGTAAGCCTTTCCAGTTTGGGGTGAGCACAGCTAACACTCCAGGCCCAAAGTTTCACTCTCCAATAACTATAGAAATAACAACCTTGATCCTTCATCATATATGCAACAAATACTCCTTTCTTTAAGCATATAAATGCAATTACATGAAAATATCATGTTATAACCTAAAGCACTAGACTTGCATCTAAAAATACTATTGAAATTAATTATCCTAAATTGTAAAAAATGGTTAAGAGGTCTTATTAATTTTCATAACTTCTATCAAACTGTCATTAAAACATAAGAGTTGGTTTTCTCCTTACTTGTCATTGGCCAAATGATAAAACCGCCTGTTCACACAGCCAGTACACAGCAGGCTTATAGCATCCAAGTAGGAAAATATCTTCAGCAGGATTTCTGAAGGCATCCTGAGAAGGGGAAAAATATATAAGTGAAACAGTGCTTAATTTACAAATTACCCAGAAAACTACTTCTCTAAATAGAGACCATAAACAGATCCCTCCTATCTAAGAGGCAAGCTATAACCTCATCTTCAATTATGTTCTTGATTGAAGTTTCTGGTTATTACAATTCTCATAACATAAACCATTAAAGAGACTCAAGGGCACACAGTACAAACTTGCTGAGCATTTCAATTATGTTCACACACTATGAATCAACAGGTAGGATTTTACTGACTCTCTCATGGAAGTACATATTATTCATTGGTGAGATAAAAAAAATTGTGAAAACGGCTAAGATGAAAGAGTTCTAAATACTCTTTATATGGTCGCCTCTAAGCCGGAACAATCAATATCCAAACATACATTAAACCCATAGCTTTCAACTAAATATTACTTCACATTCATAGTTTCACACAATTATTGGGGTTGGGTTAGGGGACGATGGGGAGAGAAAGGGCAAGAGGAAGGTAACCAGTAGGACAAAGAGCTAAAGTGTAGGAGCAAGGAAATTTTGCTTTAGGCCACTGAGCTTCCCTCAGACACGTTAAGTTAATTTGTGTATGTTCACTTTCAGGACTATGGAATTCAAATATGAATATGAGCTCATCTCTACTTCATACTGTGGTCCTACCCCAATTCCTAATCCTATTACTCCTGTTCTAATGGAGAATGTCCATTTCCTACTATCAAACTACCTGTGCTCTGGGTCTCCAAAGCCTTCAATCTTCCATTTCTGCCTCAGTCTTCTGAATCATTGACACTAGCATCTGAAAACTCCTCTAAATATCTCATCCTAACATTATACTCTTCTCTTGATTCCTCTGATCCTCAAACTCTCTCTAGCCACCACACAATCTCTGTTATCCCTTTCACTGCCAAACTTCTGCGGAAGAACAAAAGAAAACAAAAACTGGTCTGTACCTGTTGCTTCTAGGTCCAGGGCTCTAATTTTTTGTTTCACACATTTCAATGTGAAATATAACATGCAAAAAATAAGCACCTAGTCCACCCTCCTCCACTGACGTAAGAAAGTTCTTTAAGGCTTCTCAAAGCCTCCTTGCTGATCACTCCTGTTTTTGTAGCAAAAACTCTTCTTCTGGTTTGCTCAGTTTCCCCTTCTCTTGGATTTCTTGGACCTCACAGGTCCTCCCTGGCTCTTTTAGTTGCCTTTCAGAATCCTAGTTCCTCTACGCTCCCTGAGAGCCACTTTGCTTCTCTTCTCCACTCTTTTCCCAAGACACTCTGTCCACACTCAGGACAGTCAACTCCCTCCAGACTTCACCATGACCCAGACTCACACCCACTGACACTTGGCATAACTCCTTTGCCATTACTGTGACTCTTCTGTTGCTGACCTCAATTCTTTCCCATCCCAATCTGTTGCACCTCCATTTACTTCAAGGCTTAAACCAACAGTTTTAGGTTGCCACTTAAAGTCTGTCTTCCACTTATATCAACACCTAAGTTCACAAATGAATGATATCTGTTATACCTTCAAATACATTCACATTTGTCAGTGTCTCCATCTCCCCTCCTTCTAGAGGAAAGATGCAGGAAAACAAGCAAATGAGATAATCAAAGGCATCACCCTCTAATTACAGGGTCTGAACCCCTGACCATCCTTCTGCCACCTCACTATTGCCCTGGCACCTGCTCCCACCACACTCTGAGCACTGCCTTGCTCTGCATCTCTGTGTTCCAGGTTTGGTACAGTCTTCACCAGGCTCTTTAATCTCAATTTTCAATTTTCATCGTTAATGTAACCTCCTCAATGAAGTCTTTCCTTATCTACACCATTATTCTGCACTATGGAATCCATTTTTCTTGACATCATATACCCGAATTTTAATGATTTACTTGTTTAAAAATCTGTCCCCCTCACTGGTACATCACCTCTGTAAGAACACAGGTAAGGGCTCAATGTGTCTCCCAATACCAAATACACCACCATACATATTAATGGCTAGATTAACCAAATTAAAAAAAATTTTCCCAATTTCTTATATCAGGTTACTGTATGACAGATTCTACTCCCAGAGTAAAGAGTTTTAAAACTTAAACCAATGTCCTTACATTAACTAAACTAATTAGTATTAGATGCTTAGAACTTGAAAACAGGCAACCTATGTTTAAATCACAGTTTTGCACACTTAGATTATGAGGGTTTTATTTCTTCCAGTGCAAAGTGTCGCTCTATAATAATACCAAGTTTTCAGGGTCCACACAATGCTTAGCATACAGATGATACTCCATAAACGTCACTACAGCACAAATGTACAAACACCTCATCATCAATTTTAAATAACTTTTTTAAAAGATTCTATGCTGCTGAGGGTCACCATATAAAATCTTTCCATGAAAAAAAGTTCCCAAAATATTGAAAGCTAAAGCGTTTCCAAGCTTTTCAAAGGTTTTACTTTAATTCCTTTCTCCTTTTTCAAGGGCCTTCATCAACTGAAAAGTGAATAGTTTTGAAGAACATTTTAATAAGAAAAAACTTTAACTTGTCATTTTTAGAAGTTTGGTTTCAAAAAACTAGTCTAATAAGGATAATGGTGACAGGCTTATGACTCATATCAAACTCTCCATGTTGTAAATTCTTCCTACACAATCCTATTCTGAGAGAGTTCAAAATAGCACGCTGGTGTACACAGCATGATATCTCTAAAAACTGAATGCCTAGAGTGTCCCCCACCTACTTAGAGCAGGCTACTTCTGCTACTTACCTATCCAAGTACACAGAACAGTTAGAGAACGATTTATCCCAGTACGGACTTCCTTGGGCATATTGCTTCAGGGCAGTATCGCCTGCACTGCTTTTGACACCCCGTCCCTTTCTGAAAAGGAAAGTGGGAAATTCAAATTACATGCTTAGCTGAGGTGAATTATCTGTTCCCCTGCACACATTTCTAAAGGATTCATAAAGTCAAAGATTACTCACTGTGAAACTTGATCTCTGCAGAGATTATGGAAAGAAATCAAAGAAGGGAAGGAGAAAGGAAAAGAGAAGGACAAAAGAAAGGACTGTGAAACTGTAGTGTCTTGGATAAAATAAACCTGAAGTCTGGACTCTCAGGTGTTTACAACCTAAGGATTAGCACCAGCCTGCACTAAAGGCAGTTAGTATGTCAGAGAAGTGCTACAAAATGAAAACAAAGAAAATGACACATATGTATTGACTGGTTGGTTTTGATAATACAACAGAAACTCAGTTGAATACACCATCAGTTTTAAGAACTTCAGATCTGTGAACAAGAACTGTCAACAGAATCTATGACTTTGCTGATCTTTCAGGGATCAGAACAAGTTCCAGTTCTGGCTTTGGCAGCTTTACCTATAGAAGTATCAAATAGCCACAACTATTTCTTTACATTTTAACATCTTAAACTCAGTAAAAGGTATTTGAATTGGTTACCTTTTTATTTTACTGATGCATAAAATAATAGGTCATCTTACAATAAAATGGTTTTTTAGATTTTAGGAAATAAGGTATTTGTTATGCAGTTAGTCCTTTTCAGGGTCTCTAAAATAATTTTCTATTGAGATCAAACTTCAAAACCAGGAAAGCTCAATAATAGCTTAAAGGAATCTGAAACAGCCAAGAAGTCATGAAACACACGTCTCCTACTTCTTGGCAGCAGCTCCCAAGAAAGCTCCTAGTAGGTAAGTTATTTCTCTGGGGAAGGTTTTGAAGCTGCTTCTTTAATCTACAACACACAAGTAGCAGGCATTGCCCACCCCTCCAACCAGCGCGCTATTTAAGAAGAGACTACAATCTACAGCATATGTTACCTATATCCTCAGTTCACCAGCACCTTTGCTCTGAATATGTATTCTGTTCACCAAGAATTTAACCACACTCAGTGTTTGTTTTGTTTGGTACCAGTGATTGAACTCACGACCTTGCACCTGCCAGGCAGGTGCCTGTGCCACTGAGCTAAACCTCCAGCCCTCACACTCAGTGTTTTGTACTAGGCTAATTCCCCAGATGCATTTGAACCAATACTGAAAAAGGATGTGGGCAATAATTGGAGACAAAAGTAAGACACCCTAAGAACTTCACATGAGGGCTGATTAACCCTCTGGTAGCTGAAGTATTAAACCACACAGAATGGATCATAACAGAGGACAGCCCTCAACTCCAAGCATACTCTGTCTGCCATTAGGGGACAGAAGAACCCTCACGCAAAGCCTCAGCATATCTAAGAGTGACAACACAGTCTAGTGCCTACTGCAGAAATGGTATACCATGATGCATGTATGCCAAATCAGCCAGCAGCATCTGTTTGCTACGCTGTTAGCACTGTTCCCAGGTGGTCTGAACAGCTGGCAAGTAAGTTTCTCTTCCTTCAGTAGACTTTCCTCTTTAGAAACAAGTAAAATGGCTGGCACCTGGAAAGCCCTCCACAAATACTACCTGTTCCACACAGAGGTACCTCAATGTAGCAGAAGCTGAATAAGGTAAACTTTCCCAGATCCTGGAGGGTAACAAATGCACTATAGTGAAAAATGCTGGTTGCAGAAGCTACTCCATTCCAGCTCTGGCACAGAGAGTTCAGTGCGTTTTTTGTCTTATCTGACTTTCTAGTCACTGCTTTCAAGTTAGTTCAAGTAGATGGTTCTCAACCTGCATTCTGCAGAGCAACAAAAAGAGGAAAACAGTGCAGGAAAAAAAGTGGATTTAAACTTTTTGAAATGTGTTCTCTCTAAAACAAAAAAGTCTATAAATTCTATAGTCTGAAAATTCTATATTCAAAGATACAGAATTCTATATTGACCTATATTCAAGGATAAAATACCAATTGAAAAAGGTTCTTAACATTCAAGCTTTAAATAAAAGGAATTTCTATTACTCATCTATGAAATATTAATATCTATGACACTTCCCCTAGGGCTGTGTGAAGTGTTAAGAAGTCTTTGAGTCCATATGTACACTAAGTACTATATGAAAGCTGAGTAATGTCTCTCATTAATATATATCGTTGCTTTAAAAGAAATGAATATTGTTGTAATCAAATATATCTTCAAAGGATTACTAAATTAGTAAGTTTTTTGTCCCTATGTATTTCCTCAATTAAAAGATGCTAGCAAAATAAAAACTACTTTCCCCTAGTCATACCCAAGACAACTAAAGAAAAATCAATTTTAATCTGGCAAACTAACAGTGACTAAATAAATGAGAAAAGACTCAGGCTGGCTGTGTTACATAGAAACTAGTATATCTCACTACTGGGATGTGCAAACCTTATGGAAAGCCAAATCTGGTTTGTGTGATCCAAGATCCTTAAAAAGCACACATTTTTTAAACCAGGAATTCCACCTCTACAAACACACTCAAAAAACAATATGCCTAGATGGTTCACTAAAACATGTCTATCTCAAAGTTGTCTTCACATAGGGAAAATACTTAGAAACAGCTTAAGAAATAATTATGCTGAATGGCCTCCACAGATGAACAACTTTCAGTCAATGAGAATGCAATTTCAACACAGGTGAAAGTGTTTAAAATAGAACTAGGTCTAACATACACTGCAGATATCTGCATGAATTATTCCCTCACCTCCTGCAGGAACTTACCATCATCTACACTCACCATAGCTATGCCATGTAAAACTGCAATTCAGACCCTACACACATACCCTCTCTTCTCTTTTCCCACTTTTTTTCTCCTTAGTACATATCACCATCCAATGCTGTCTTGTTTATCACCACTGTAAAGTTCCATATGAACAGGAATGTTACGTGAGCCTTGTTCAGTACTAATTCTTCAGCACTCACATGTCTAGCATGCAGATGGCACTCAATATACATCTACTAAATTAAAAATATATTAACTGAAAAAGCAGATCATATCAGTTTTGTATTTCTCCAAAAGGAAAAGTAAACATGCACACAGAGAAAAATACTAAAAGGAAAAAAACATAGAATTACAAGGTTGATACTGATAGCTTTTAATATTCCACGATGTGTTTTCTAATTTTTCTTAATACATTGAATACACAACAAATTTTGGAGGTGGTTCTTGCTTTCATTTCAGAACTGACAGGCTTAGCACAATCCTTTATCCTGAAAGCAATGGCTCCCAAAGTAACCCTGAAGAAGCTAACACCAAGACTTCCACAACTAAAAGCACAGCCTGCAGCCAACTCAAAACTTCTCACAACTCACTCACTTCAGCTAAAAATTAATGCAGATATTCATTGAATTCTACAGAACAATTTTATCTTTGCCTTATAAAAATTACCACTTAAACTATTTAATATTTCTCCCCAAGGTCTTAATTTTACATATGAGAAAGAGGTCCTATGTATCCCTACCCACTGGTACCTAGCTTTTTTGAGATGCATAATGCCAGAATATGCAACTTGTTTCAAGGAATACACAATGGCACAATCTAGTAAACTTACTGAGATGGTTAACTCCTAAATTGAGAATTTATGAGAGCCTATTATGAAAACTTACATGAAATGAATAAAGTTTCCTGCTTTGTATATATCTGTGAATGAACTATATATAAATATTAGAGGGTGCCACAAAACCCACCTTTACTAAAAGGTAATTTTAAATAACAAACAAGAAAGCTGGTACTATTTTAAAAGAAAAAAAAGTGACAAAGGCTCTTCCCTAATGTAAATCCCTAATTTAATAATAGCAAGTGAATACACTAACATCTTTGACAAAAATATTTAATATTTAAGGATTTATTTATTCAATTCTACAAATACTTCTTAAAGACACACTCTGTAAATGTTCTACATGCTTTAAAACTTTTTCTTCCATCCTTATTTATAAAATAAATGTTATTTTATTACAAAGATATTTCAGTACTTTAAAAATGTTAATGCCTATTTTTTGCTGGGTTTTTTTCCCCACAACTGAGATAGATTTCCCTTATTTCACAAAAAGTATTAAGGCTCTAATTAAGGCTTTAAAGAGACAAAGGGCAGAGGCAAGGGCTTAGAAAGCCCCTAGGACCTTCATCTCCTAAGCACCTTCCAGAGCTCTTTTTCCATAACTTAGATTTCATGTCACATCAATGTAACATTTGGTTCCACTGAGAGTACAATACTATTTCTTCCTAGAAACAACTGCATAGTGCTAAATGGACTCACATTTAACAACTTCATATAACTGTAGGGAGGGCGGTGGTTAGGGAAAAAAAAAAAAGGATTGAGATATGTTTTGTACATTTACCAATTCCCCACAATGAATGTAACCATTGTGTACTATAAACATGTCCTAATGAAAATTAAGTTTTAAAACAAATTTTAAAAAGCCAAATTAGTAAACTGCATGCATATCCTCATTCAAGTCTAATATTAAGTCAGATAATAGTTTCAAAACACTTAAGCGACATATTTTCTCCTAAAAACTTTGAATAAGTTTAGTATTTTAGTATCTAATTTCTGGGCCTGATCATTAGTATCTAGGTATAAAATTAAGCTTAATTAATATTCTGCTGTATTTCTTAGAATTTGTGATATTTATACTCACATTTTGTGTTTAAAAGATGACTAATATCTAATTTCCCACAAAGAGCCATTAAAAATAATGATGTTCTTAAAACATACGCAATCATTCTATTCTTAGGAGCTTTTACCAAAACTTCATACAGGTTCAAATCACAGGTTGAAATGCAAGTTCTCGTGGCAAGCATAAATGACAGGCACTTTTACTTACAATCATTCCACCAAGAAGTGTGCTCAACTTACAAAAGAAATAAAAAAATTCATCATATAAAAATAATTGTTTTGCCCTAACGAAGTACTGTATACGTAATAGTGGCAAAATGATTTAAAGTTCAAGCTTCCTATGCAAAACCCAGCTTTTCTCTTCTACATAACAGAATTTTTGCAGACATTGCCACAATTTCATTAACACAGGCCTGTGGTTTGTCTAGCACTCTAGCTACTTAAGCAAGAACTATTCTGGAGCTGGGCATGGTGGTGCACACCTGTAATTCCAACTATTGGAGCAGCTGAGGCAGAACCACCTCAAGTGTTGGAGTTAACCTGGGCCAGTGAGACCCATTCTCAAAATTTAAAAATGACTTTAAGCCCCCTAAATTCAGAACCCGGTACGAATAACAACCTATTACAGGAAGGTACAGGGCTGTGCTTTTGAAACCAGAATAAATGGGGTTAACAGAAACTGAAGGACAACAAAAAACAGAATCTTAGAGAGGGGTAGAGAGAGACACTTGAAACAAAACAGAATCCTTTTATCATGCTTAAACATAAAAAGCAAAATACGGATGACTTCACAGCTGCAGATCAAAGAGCTTGAGAGCAAAAGCTAAGCCTCACCAGGGTGATGGATTCAGGGCTAGAAATTTCTTCTGATAAAAACGAGTGGGATTTTGTAATGTCCTATTGCCACATATTGATATTTTGACACATTGACTCACTCTATTTCTTTAAATTACACTGAAGATCTTTCTGAAAGGCAGCACAGCCTCCTGCTCTCTGCTCCTTTCCCTTCTCACTGAAGCTGCCATCTCTCACAGGAGCATATGACCCTTCAGTTCTAGTCAGCCCCGGAGAAACAGCAGAGACATAAATACACACAGGTCCCTGCACTTAGGTAAGAACAGGTGGAACAGGTAGAGTTGAGCACCGCCAAGTGGCTGTCTAGAAAACAGCTTGGCCTCACACACGCTCCATCTTCCATCCTTGCCGGCCAAGATCCGCACCCGAGAGGGGCAAGACGTAAAGAAATACGCGTAAGATCTGGGATGGGTCTATTTCACTTCTCTAAGCCTGTAATCATTAAAAAACCACATAAAGGGACTCCGATTCTAGAACTGTAACTATATTAGCAACAGGGCAATGCCCAGCTCTCTCCGGCCCACCAGGGAAGCTCGCGCTGGGCGCCGCCCTGGTGGACCGGCAGACCACGGTCTTCGCCGCGGGGTCCCGGCGCTGCCGAACAGGAGCAAGAGCTTCCCACTGGGCCTAACAGTAACACCCGGACTGCCACAGAATACTTCTGGGAAGCGGCTCTACCAAGCCTGGGAGACACCAAGTTCCCAGGGTGAAGAAACTCCCTTCAGTCTTTCGTCTAACCTTTCCCGCGTTAAGAAGAAAAAAAAAAAAACGCTGAGTCACGTGCCAGAGCCGGACCAATAACACTCGCGAGCGCGAGGGGGCCTGAGCGACCGGGTGAGGGCTACCTCGCGACACGGACTCCTCCCGCTGGCCCTGACGGTCTCCTGAAGCGGGACGCCCCGGAGCACCCAGCCGCAGCCCCTGTCCTGCCGCAGGCCGTGCCGCCGCCGTGATAGGGTCCACGCGGCTCCTGTTGGCCCAGCAAGCGGTGCCGCGAGGGCCGACCGCGTCCTGTCGCCATAGAGACCAGGCAGGTACAGCCCAGGGGCCAGACTTCTCCAGAGGATTCCGCCCCCAACCTCGCGCGCGTGCGCAGACGTACGACCACGCTCGTGCATGCGTATTAAGCGTCAGTCCTCGCTCTATCTCTGGGAGCAGCTTCTAGACCCTTCCGGGGTTAGCTCCGCCATAATGACGCCAAAACGCCATATGCCGTAAAGCCACGAAGAGTTTACGACACACGCCTGCTTGAGGTTGTAACCTGTTGGCTGTTTGGGTTTTTGAAAGGAAATTGAAAAGCAAACTAAATCATTTGCCCATTAGTAAAACCAAATAAGACGAAAGACTTCCTAGATAGCACAGCCCTTTTCAGGAAAGGCACTAAAAAACACTCAGGTCACAGCTGTTCATTTAATTTTTGCACGTTCTGTTTGAACCGCCCAAACACTGGCACAAATTCAGCCACAAGTCTTGAGGAGTAAGAAGGGTGAGCCGTGTCGCCAACGCTACTCTCGCAGAGACGTCTGGGAGGCGGTAGAGATGGGCCGGGCTCTGGCCGCCTTGTATTGTGGGAAATACAGTCCCTCTTTCCTTCCACTCAGTGACCCCGCGGTTAAGTGTAAAGTCTTTGAACTCCGCTTCCCAGAATCCCTGGAAGAGTCCCAGACTGCTTTGCGAGGGTATGGTCGGGAAGGTGCAAATGTCAGCGTGAAAGGTAACCGGGACATTTTAATTCAAACTACAGGAAAAACCAGAAGAGCATTCTTTCCAGAAACTTTTTGTCAGGATATCCCTAAAGCAGCTGTAATATAAATGTGTGAATTTCAGTACGTGTCTGGCCATGTGGTGACTCTTTGCTGATTGTAGTAAGCATCCTCAATACGCGGAAGTTTTCTTTGAACATGATTTGTACCTTTCTGCGAGCTGTACAGTATGCAGAGAGGCTACACAGGTCCTCAGGGAGGCGATTGCTGTCGCCACAGTTCACGCTTAACAAAGCGTGCTTTACGACCGAGCCTAGTTTGAGATGGGGGCTGCAAGAGCGGAAGGAAAAGGTGCTATCAGGATGTATCTTTGAAGTCTCCCGGAAAACTATCTGGACGCAGGGACCGCGACCCCAGAAAGCACAAAACACCGGCAAGCAAGTATCTTTGCACAGAAGTCAGAAAGGGGAAACCGCTATTCCAACGACCCAGAAAGGTAAAAAGTAATATTTGTAGTGTCGTGTCAAACATCCAATCTGACGAGAGCTGCTGATAACCTTTATCTCGAGCTTACAAGTAAAATTGAAAAACCAGGTCACACAAATTAAAAAATATGTTCGTTAAAGATAGTTTACAACCATAAAACATAGACCTACTATTTTCACAAATTTGAATTCGGACTTGAAAGTTGATTGTGAGCCTGTAATCCTAGCACTTGGGAGACTGAAGCTGGAGGAGGGTTGAGAGTTCGAGACCAGTCTGGACTATAAAGTGAACTCAAGGCCAGCCTGAAACTACAAAGTGAGACCCTGTCTCAAAAAGAAAAAGTTTATTTTGATAGCAATAAAACAATTGTGTTTAGAAAACTTGTATTATGATACACATATGTAAAGTCATTAAAGGGTATAAATAGAAGAGGTTATTTAGTCATAATCAACATGGTTTTATTTCAGCTCCATAAACTCTTACTGAATAACTGACTTTATTTCTAGATCCTGAGTTAGATTTTACAGACTAAAGAATTAAAGACTTGTAAACGTTCCTTTCCGGCAGACAGTTTAGGTGTAGTAATAGAACACACTGAGTAGGGAGGATTAAGAGTAATTTTTTTAGGAAAAGTGAAAGATGTTTTCACAAATATTTTAAGTTATTTGAGCCTAACACGGTGACGCATGCCTGTAATCCCAGCACTAAGGAGGCTGAGGCAGGAGGATTGTCACAAGTTTGAGGCCAGCCTGGGGTACAAAGTGAGTTCAACACCAGCCAGAACCATATAGTGAAACCCTGGTCAAAAAAGACCAACTAAATAAATAATAAATGTTTTGTTTATTGCTTCATTTTACAAGTAACTTATAAGAAAATAATAAAGGGAGGCAAAGTAAGCAGTTCAGACCCCGTTATTATACAACACATAGGTGACAATTATATTTTAGTTGTCATAATAAATATATATTTGTTAATGTTTAACATTAAAATGAATATCCTATCAGTCGTTTTGTAGCCTGTGAAATGTGTTAAAAATATAATCCAAGATTTCCATTCATGATAGTAATTTAGCACAAAACAACAGCCTGTATGCGGAGGTGGAGGATACACAAGTATCTTTGTTATGTGTTGGGTCATCTGGCTGAAGCAATAGAGCTGTTTGTACTGCAAGAAGAAGTCCTTTCCTGGGATAGCCCTCATCCAACGGTGAGAGCTTTCCTTCCTAGTGATTCAGTGAACCAATGAGAACAGTATTCCTACATATAGAATATGCTGCCTCTAAAATCCAAAAATGTCAACCAAGAATTATGATAACAAATAAAGGATGAAATACTTTCTCATTTACTTAGGATAAGATATCCTATCATACCTCAGAGAGTTTACCCCCGCAAGTCTCGCATTTAGTTTGGTGAGCTTCTGTCATGTCAAGCACGCCTCACATTTGGAACACACACCTTACCAAGCCCTCTGACACACTTGGCACTTGTTCCTCGGCTCTAATATAGTAGCATCGATGTAGTATACAGATGGGTTATTCTGCTGAATGTCCAGAGTAGCATCATCCAAATAAAATTTTGTGCAGTGATAGAAATATTCTTTGTCGGGCTGGGGATTTAGCTCAGCGGCATAAGCGCCTGCCTTGCAAGCAGGCAGTCGTGAGTTCGATCCCTGGTACCGATAAAAACGAAAAAGACAAAAAAAAAAAAAAAAAAAACAGAAATATTCTTTGTCTTTGTTGTCCAATATGGTTGCCACTGACCACATGTGGCTTCTGAGCATGTGAAATGTAGCTAGTGTAACCAAGGAACTTAAATGTAGTTAATTTAGAATTAGACTGAAATAACTATAATTGGCTAGTAGCAACTGTACTGAACAGTCCAGGACCAAAAGGTTTCAGTTCCATAAGATTATATAAAGAGACTTGGAAAATTATCAAACTCTAGGAAAGACCACAAATGTATACTGCTATCTCTTTCATGTTACTGCTGACTACTACGGCTGCTGTTTCTCAGTGCTGTGTATTAATGTGCTACATAATGTTCTTATATTTGGCATCGTATATGTATAGGGGCTACCGCTTGGTTGACTGTAGTGATCTACAATTATTCTTTAGTACCTAACTGGTTTTTGAAGGGGAACACTGATGACTTAAATAGGAATATGACAGCAAGCACCACTCCCGTATCATTAGGTCTTTAAGAATTGAAATGCCCTTGCCATTCTCCCCTTAGATGTAGTAAATTTTTTTTATTTTCTATCTTGGTCAGCAGGAGGAAATTTAGAGGCTTTCATTCCAGTTTGGATCTAGCTGTAAATCTGTTAAAAGCAACTTTGTTACACAGCCCTAACATACCTAACAGGGATTTGATTCTTTGGATGACTCCAGATCCTTGGAAATTATTGTTGGTGTAGACTCTCTGGGCAAGTTAATGGCCCAAGTTCCCTTTACTAAAGCACCAATCTAATCATGTACTCTTGCTCACATTGTTATGAAAGAACGGTCTTTCTATTAGTGTTTTCCAGGTCTGAATACTTGTTCAGGACCAGAAAGTACGGCAGTCATCATACTTTCCATTAGAGCAGTTGCCTTAAGTGTCCTGATTTTCCTTAATTTTCATGATTGCGTAATTGAGCAGTATCCTTATCAGCTGCCCATTAGTCTTGCCCTTGGGAATACAATGGTATTGTAATCGTCTGTTGCTTTCTGCAGGTCAAACACCCCTGGCTGCCACTCATCCTTACATGTATTAGGATAATTGTACCTACCCAGTGAATACCATGACTTTGTCTTTCAGGATTCTTTTATCCCTATATCGTGAGGGAATCCTGTCCTGTAAAGATGTAACTGTGGCTTCCAATAAGCTTTTGGTTTTTGTTTTGGTACTGGGAACTGAACTCAGGACCTTGCGCTTGCCAGGCAGGGGCTTGTGCTGCTGAGGTATGTCCCAAGCCCAGCTTGTGGGTTTTGAAGCTTTCTATCTTACATCTACTCTAGTGTGCCTATTCTTAGCCCAGTGAGCCTTTATCCAGTTTGCCATGCCAGTTCCATCGTTTATTTTCACTTAATGTGGACCATTACTGTTAACAAGTTTTCAAGAGCAAACCCAGCTGTTATCAGCTTTCCAGGTGCTTTCCTCCTGGGTAAATTCGTTGTCACAGTACACGGTGCCTCCATGTAGATCAACCCTTACTCTCGAGGTTTGTAGGCTCTGCTCCTTGATAAACTTGGCGACAGTACAAAGGATTGAACCCAGGGCCTTTATACTGAACTATATCCCCACCCCTTTTTCTTTTATTTTGAAATAATTTTACGAAGTTGCTCAGGCTGGGTTTGAACTTAGGATCCTCTTGCCTTAGTTTCCCAGAGTATTGGGTTTACAGGTTTGTGCCATCGCACCCACTCCTTGATGTCCTTAATGGACAGTCATATTACTGTTTATGTTCTCCAAGTTCCTTGAACGTATTGTCCATTTTTTTTCATCTCGTACCTAGTTATGTTGTCTTTAGGCAGAAAGGAAAACAGGAGGAGAGACTTCCTGAGGGACTACATGTCTTGCTAGGCCAAAGTCCTATCAAAGGAGAAGGACTTGCTGACCTTTAATGAGAATGAATAAGTCACTTCTTTGGGCCTAGAACTTTTAGAAGAAACTGAAGATTGCATATTTTTAAAAGGATTAACCTCTATATCTCAGTACCAAGCTTTAGGTTTCCTTTCATCCCAAATCAGAACTTGGCTTTCACAAAGGAGATCTGCTAGTCTTGAAATGCTGGCCTGTACTGTTCTGATGACCTGCATCTGAGCCTCAGCATTTCCTTTTTTCTGGGTGTAGCCATGATTTATGACATCAGAGAAACATCTTCCTTTCTTTCTTAGCCTTCACTGGGGATTCCTGTTATCTTCTCATCTTTCACTGTATACCTATGCCCCATCTATAGCCACTATCCTGAAATTGTTTATTCCTCCAAAATTCCCTAAAATAGCAGTTCCCAGTACATTGTGTCTTACCGGGATGGAATATTCATCAGTCCTGGGTCAGAGTTGTAACAGTACAGTACAGCTGCACGCTTGGGCCTGTGAGTGCTCCTTGTGGCCAGCAAGAGTCTAGTGATTGAGCTCCAAAATCTAAATTTGGGGCTGCTTCTTCAGACCATTCCTTGTAGTACCCCTATAGCTCAGCTTGCTAGGGATGTGGACATAGTGAAATTCAAATAAAGAGGTTTGTTGGGAACCAGTCTGAGGGCCCGTTAGGGTCAGATGAAGTAGCACTGGGCTGAGAAACTCATGTCTGTGTGCAGTGGGGCCTTGGTCCTGGGGGAGCTCGGTCCTAAGGAAGAGCCATGACCCAGTGAGGATCTGTTGTTGGATAAAGAAATGCACAAAGAGAACTCAGCTGAGAGCAATGAGCTACTACTCTCTACAACTGGAGGTACCCACTAAGGGGCAGAGACACAAATGGATGAGGTTTTTTTTTTTTTCATCGTCGATGATGATGTTGTTGTTTGGGTTTTTTGTTTTGTTTTTTGCTTATTTTTTTATCAAATTGCTAGATCTCGGAGGATTAAAAGAGGAGGATAGACCATGAGCAACTTCCACTGGAGACACCGGTAAAGTAACAGTACTATCAACTTGGAGCTTGGGCATCCAGCTGGCAGCATTTGTTGAAGTGTATTACTCGTGTTTCCATCACTGGACACAACACTCAACATCCACAAATTAAGGGAGGAGTTTAATTTGGCTCACAGTCTGAGTCCATGGTTTGCTGGCTCCAAAGACGGTTACAGTGGGGAAGCAAAGCAAGAGAAGAGTGCCAGAGAAGCAGGGCACAGATATGGAACCCACGACCCACCCAGACACATCTACAAGTATGCACCTCTAAACCAGGACAAATCCCAAAACCAGTCACTGTGAAACTCAACCCTAACTACGGAATGTGGCATTTATGGCATTAAGGGGGAATGGCATGGAGATACTGTCATGGTAGACCTCTCGACATCTAAATCTGGGTGACAAGTTTGTTGTTACAGTCATGGATTAGTCTTGTGAATTATACAGATTTTAACAGGTGCATCTCTTTTAGTGTTGGAATCACGTTTTTTAGGTTAGGAACCTGCACTGAAAATGTAAAGAATTGTGCTATGCTGAAGATGATTTTAAATAAATATTGTAAAGTAATAGAAGTTTATGATACCGAAAGGGAGAAACAATAACTTAAAATTTTGCTTTTCTGAAAAAAATTGTAAGAGATTTATATTTAAGATACCTAAGTTCCTAATGTGAATAAATTAACCAATAAATATGATACCAAGCAGGTAATACACTTTTTCAGCGTCACTGAAGTAACTGTAATTGTAGGAACGTTTGCGTATATATGTAGATAAGATATTTATATAATGTGCATACATCTATACAGTGGTACCTCGGTTCACAAACTTAATTTGTTCTCCAACTTTGGAAAAGATGGCCATATTTGTGTTTATGTAGGAAAGATGGCCACAATCGTGTTTGTCACCTTATGCATAGTTTGCAAACAAAAACAAAATGTTGTCAAATGTTTCTGTTTGTGAAGTGAGGTGCTACTATACCACGTCCCATAACAGTGCTTGGTTGAATTTTTTAGCTCCTAGAATTTCTCTTCAATCCACATATACATCTCTATTAGTGTGGAAAAAAGTGAGCACAGTATGTCTTCCATGTAGATTCATTTTCTAAGCTTTTTAAATTCACAAATCTTCCTCACCAAGCAGATTCCAGTTCTGAATTCAATTCCCTTTGTATCTCAAGCTCTAGTCAGTTGGGAAACATGGCTGAAGGCATTTGAGAATGTTAATCTGTGCCCAGAAAGCCTGGGCCCATTGTTTTTAATCTGTTAACAGCTGTTCTCACTGAGGGACTGAATGAGAATCTCCTCCTCCTAAAAATCAAGGCAATACTAAGTTTATTTAATAAAACAAAAACATATTCCTAGACCCTGTCGCAAGGTTTTCCTAAAGCTGTGAAGCACAGGGAAATTTGAGAACAGCTCCCGAGAACACACTGGAGCCCTCACTTTGACCCTGACGCCTGGTGTCCTGCTAGAAATGCCGAAGCTGGGAGCAGACTGGTTTTCGGGCGGCACATGTATGACTCCCTGGTGTTCTCTCTTTGCAGTGAAAGAAGCTGGACGAGATTTCACCTATTTAATAGTGGTACTCATTGGAATCGGCATTACAGGTAACCAAAAACAGCAAGTATAACACTCCTGAATATCTCTTTAACGAAACGTTTCATCTCATTCTTGCTTGGCTTCATCTTCTTTTTCTGTGATTTTTCAGGTGGCTTGTTTTATGTGATTTTCAAAGAACTTTTTTCTTCATCCAGTCCCAGTATCATATATGGGAAAGCCTTAGAAAAATGCAGAACGCATCCTGAGGTTAGTTCTCTGAGGAGAGGGAGAATATGTTGGGGAGGAGGAATAGGTATAATTCAAATACCAATTCTGAAACTGTTGAAATGCAAAGCAATGCTACTGACTGAGGTGTGATTGTGATATTATTGAGTGTATTTGAAACACTTTGGTTGCAATCACCCAAAAGTCAGTATATAGCTATTTTCATCCTAATTGTATGTATATATTACTTTGAGCAAACAGAACTCCATAAAATCAATACAAAGAATGAGCTATTATTAAAGTTATAATTTGCTACCTAAGGGAGTTCTATGAATAAGCAGTTAAAATTTAACAATGAAAACTGAAGTTTTTCCAGTACTTTTTTTTTAAGAGCCAACTCTCTGTTGGGTACTATGCCTGCTCGAAAAAATAATAAAATCCTAATATTCTAATGATCATATATTTATTAAGTTACTTGAACATTTGCTGTATTTGTTTAAGCAAATATCTGTCATATATTATTCCTTTTCATTCATGCCCAGAAGTTATGAAGATACTCAGCAAAGAAAAATTATATAAAGTTGAGGGCAAAACTCTTTTAAGTTTGATATCAAATTTAGATTTTTAGAGCCAGGGATTTAGCTCTGTGGTATCAGCACCTTCCTGGCAAGCATGAGGTCATGAGTTCGATGCCCACTACCAAAAAAAATAAAACAGAAAGAAAAAGAAATTTATATTTTTTAGAGAGGGTCCTAAGTATTTGATTATTAATTAAATTGATAAAAACTACATTTCTACTTTTGAATTTTTCAATTAAGAATTATAGATTCATACTTTATTTTAAATATGTCATTGTTAACTTGGTTTTTTCTTAGTGTGTTTAATAACTTAAAATGCCTTATTGATCTCATAGCTTTTAGTATTAGACCCATTCATTAAATTTTATTATAAATGTTCAAACATTTTGTCTTCAAGCTATGAGGTATTAGTAGAGAAATATTTGAACACTTCACTTTTTTGTAAGGGGAATGGAAACAGCTTCACTTTAATGAACATTGTTCCAAAATTACAAGTGACACCATAAAGTTACCTGTTTCCAGTTCGTGCATGAAATACTTGAATTGTCAATGGAATGATTTTTTTTTTTCGTCTTTCTGAGACAAGGTCTCAGTATGCAGTTCAAGCTGGAATTGAGCTCATTTTGTTGCCCAGGCTGGTTTCAAACTTCAACCACTTTCCTGCCTCAGCCTCCCAAGTGCCACAATTACTGGCATGCATCATTATGCCTGGCTATGGGATGACTTTTGCATAATAAATTCTCCCCCAGTTTTCTCCATCATTGGAGTCACCATTTTTGAAAGGGCCCTAAACTTACTAACTTGTTTCCCTAAAATATTTTTATAAAAACCTGTAAAAAAAAAAAAAAAGTAAAGCACTAAAATTAAACATTGTCTTTATTTTGCAGGTGATCGGTTTCTTTGGTGAGCCTGTTAGAGGCTATGGGGAGATGACAAGACGTGGTCGAAGGCATCATGTCAGGTACTGCTGTCTCCCTGAACTTAGAAAGCTCAAGGATAGTTTCTAAGTAGAAGGAACTGTGACTTACATTTATTTCATGTCTCAACAGTTTTATTGATTATGTGAAAGATGGGCTGAAACATACACGTGTGAAATTCTACATTGAGGGGTCTGAGCCAGGGAGGCAAGGAACAGTGCATGCAGAAGTGAAAGAGGTGAGAGAATGCGGTCATCAACGTCGCTGGCTCTGACAGTGTTCTCTAAGCTCTGGAAGGGAAATAACACCTGGAAATATATTTTTTTCAGAATCCAAATAGTGGAGAATATGAATTTCGGTACATATTTGTGGAAGTGGAATCCTATCCTAGAAAAACTATTATCATTGAAGATAATCGATTCCAAGAAAATTGAAGAATCAAGCAAGCATACTGTTTCCTGGTGGGTGTGAAACGGTGCAAATTCATTATGATCTCCACAGCTCCTGAGTACAAGAGTACATCACTCACAAAAGTAAATGTAATGAGGTATTTGATGTGAAAAATCATGAAATAGACTATGGAGCATATTTTGTTAGTGCAAATTGTCAATTATGGCAGTATTTCTCCTCTATTTAACATCATCATGATGAAAATTTTTGTTACTGAAAATTTTACACAATGTAAATAAATTTAACTATTTAGGCTTTTTTATATATTACATAATTATATAAAGCTGGCAGAAAAAGCTAGAACTAAGAAAAATGTCCAGAATATCTTCTTTCTATGTAATTTGGAATCTATCTTCAGATGAACATATGGAAGTATTTGAAAACTATAGTGAGCGAAAGGATAAACACATTGTAGAAAGGCTGTAGAAATCATGTGATTTAGAATTCGTATTTCCCGTTTTCCACCCCGTGATGGTAGGCATTGTCTACTGTGAGAAGAGCACACACTGCACTCTGAACTGTTCTCACTCCGCCTTTTCTAGCTGGTGTGTGGGCCTTGCAGGTCCTCAGCTTCGTCAGACCTCGCTGTTCTCTGGCTGCCTGGTGACTGAGATGATGGGTCCAAGTACCTGGACTTTAGAGGCACCATGAGACATCCCAGCCCCTTTAGAATGTATGCTGATACTGGACACTGCCAAGAGAACGCCAGAGATAAATGGTAGTTATTCAAATGTGTGTGTGAAGCCTTTTTTAAAAAAATATGAATACCTTGTTTTATTTGAAGTGTTTGCTGGAGATCTGTTAAAAAGTGACTTTAACTTTCAAGACTTTATCACATAACCACAGTGCTCTGTGTGCTGTCATCTGTGGTGGCTTCAGAGTGGGGATCTCCCAACACTTTTTTTGTTCTTTAGAACTGACAGTGGAGGGATTTCTGATGAGTTTTGAGATCCTAGCATATTCAGGATAGAAAGATCTCAGGCAAATCTGTTTTCCTGCTTAGTTTATCTCTTTGCTTAAGTTAGTTAAATTTTTTGTTTAACTACTGCCTTAAGTGTTTTATTATTTCAATTGTAAAAATTTCAAACATTTAGGATAAATGGAAAATATCACAGCATACCTGTTATCTCGCTGAGGAGTCATGCCTTTAATTACAGGGTGAACTCAGTTTGAGTTAGGTCTCTCCGCCAGTTTTTCTGTCCTTCCCAATAGATTGCTTCTTATCACTTATATAGAACTATTCTTTTATATATATAATAAACGTTTAAAGTTTTTAAATGTGATCTGATTTTGGTTTTGGCAGTAAAAACGTAACAGGTTATCTACATCTAACTAGCTGTCCTAATGAATCTCAATGTAGTTTGATTTTATTCAACTGCTCATTGACATAATTTTACAGTCAAAGTTGTATCACTACTTAAAATTCATAAAGGTGTTGTACCTTGTGACCATACTGTTAAGTAAAATAAATCAGATACAAACCTAAATATCACATGATTTCTCTTATGTGAAAAACCCAAAATATAAATAAAGAGCAAAAGTAAAAGATAGTATAATAGGAAGAAGGGAAATCTTTCTCAAAGGAAAAGATCAGGAAGTAGGAGGGAGGGGAAGGGGATGGAAAAAGAATTAAGACGTGTTATGTACATGTACCAATCCCCCACAAACTGTAATCATGAACTACAACCATACTAATAAAAATACTAATGAGAAAAAGATATTACTGTTTATCATTTTATAAATATTAACTGGTTATATCACAAAATTACTGAAATACATATTTGCATCTTAAGAATTGAAAAGCAAAGGAAACAATATTTCCTTTTCAAATACTCCTGCTTGTGCTGAGTAGCTGTCTGTCCTCTTCCTCCTTTACCTCACCTTCAAATAAACTGTCTTTTATTTAAAAATAAAATAAAATAAAGGAAAAATAAGCCACCAACAACAAGAACATAAGAAAAAATGCAGATAATTTATTTCTTATCTATAGTTGTTGAAAACGTTCCCTAATACAAAGAAGTCTGTTGATAATTGTATATAAAAATTAACCTACTTTAAAATCACTGTAAGGAAAAAATTTTTTGTATTTACATATAGAAGTTAAGCTTTCTCTTGGATTTTTTTCATCTTATTAGAAGCTTCACAAAATGACTATAAAACCAATAAAATATTTCTCTGACAATTTTCTGTCCAGTAATAAGTAACATGAGCTAATTTTGTATCCATCTTGTGATAAATATTTATGGAAGTGGCCATTTGATAAGTGCAGTGATAAACGCTATGGGGGAAATCATCTAGTACTCTTGAAGGCCTAAATTTTAAATCAGTTGATTATAAGATAATTAAACATGAGTTTCAATCTGTATTTATTTAATATACACCTGCATGACCCTTCCCATGTACCAGTCATTGTTCTAAGCACTGTATAAATAGCTTGTTTAACCTTTGTAGTAACTTCATGGCTACTCCAACACTGCAGTTTTACTGATGATGCAACTGATACATGGATGGGTCTCAAAGCTAGTAAGTGGTTAAGATAGAATTTCACAAAGTTAGTGTTGAAAATAGAATATTCACTTAAGTGGTATTTCGCTGTCACTATGCATTGCTATCTATGGTGCTTTTTATTCTCAACTTGATGGCTTACTGTGAGGTTGGCAAGAACCACAAAGAATTTGAGACTGAAACTAAGGAGCATTAACAGTAAGGGCCTGAGAGAAAGAAGAGGAGGCCTCAGAGGACATGGACAGATGAATAACTGATGGCTGTTGACACTCATAGATGGATAAGATGAGGAAGGCAGAAGGAAAGACAAGATCAAAAAGGGTGGGAGAAAACTAGGACAGTGATACTGACTGCATTATGTCACCCTAAAGACATGTATGTTGGAGCCTCCAAATCTCAGAAATCTCAAAACATGATTATATTTGGAGATAAAGCCTTTAAAGAAATTAAGTTGAAATCAACACTATGGCCCTAATTCACTTTAACTCGTGTTCTCATAAGAGGACTTTGGAATACACAGCAACATACCAAGAATACTCTCACACAGGAAAGACCATGGGAAGACATAGAGAAGAGAGCCATCTGCCACAGGAAGAAACCTCGGGAGAAACCACACATGCTAACAGCGTTGTGTTGGACTTCTAGTCCCCAGAACCATAAGAAAATAAATTTCTTTTTAAACTACGAGGGCTAGGGTATTTAATCATGGCAGTCCTAGCAGGCTAATACAATACCAAAATCAAGAAAAGACAAAGCGGAAGCAATAACCAGCAATCTCAGATGCTGATAAGACCATAAGCGGTTGTTCTGAATTCAAATTAGCATCATTATGCAGCCATACATTGCCACTCTGATTTCAGGCTTCTGCTTTTGAGATTTGTTTAGCCTTTTTATAACTGAGCCGAGCTGGACTTCTCTTTTAACATCTTTTTTTTATTATTATTATTTAAAGAAATACAAAACAGAAAACGGGCAGAAATAGTACATACTTTCAAAGAAAAGAAATAGTAATCACTAGCTGATGTATACAAATTATCCCCCTATAAATAGTTATTCAAGGTACACAAGTGGAACAAATAAATGGGATTTCAAACAGGGAGACTGCAAACAGTTCTGTTCAACTATTCAACAAAAACTTAAGTATTATGGCTATCAATCCTATACACTTAGACATGTATGTATTTATCCATATCTTCATTTATGTTGAGACCTAACACAGCATATTGGATTAAAATCCTTCTGAACAGAGATTAATAATATTGCTGGATTTCACATCATAACACTCCGGAATCAGGATTGGATACTGCAGTGCAACTTTCTTTCAAAGTTTTTGTTCATTTCATCATGTGTCATCAGATCAGTGTTCATAAACTGTTTATAGGTTTTTACGTAAGCTTGAGTCTTAACATGTATTTCTACCCTTTCTATATGTTAGAGGGAGAAACATAACAAAGCAGGACAGAACTAAACTTTTTCCTATAGACATATAAAACTAAAAAGACATATAAATCTGCTGTATAAGAAGTTCTATCTTGGTCACTATGCTGTTTCTTGTTATCATCTACAGAATTGGCTGTATCATCAGAAAGTATAATTGAGCATATCAGTACATAACAGAATTAACAGAAATACAACTTTATAGATAGTGTAGAGCTACAAAAACAGGTAGTAATCAAATCAGAATGGATATCATAGTAAATCATTGTCATTTTCAGTATAGTTGTCTGTACTCCTCAACTTGTTACCATCAACCTTAAAGGTTTTGATTAAGATCTGTCAATAATAAGCAGCAATCAAACAAGTCAAATTTAACTAAGATCAGTCATGATACAACAGTATAAGTCTATATGGATTCTGATTGAGTTAATAGGGTATTAAAGATGTCCCCTATGCTATGGACAGCTGTCTGTGCCCCTCAGATCCAGTGCTTGTATACAAACTAGGACAGAACGAGTTCCAACCAAGCAGAGTGGTGCAAATAGTAAGGGTTTAAATTCCTGATACACTATTAGCTATGTCTTCTGCTTTTTTTTTTTTTTTTTTTTTTTTGAAGACTGTTCCTTCCCTTTACTCCCCCAGAATGAACTGTATTTTTGGGTCCCCCCAACACTAACGGTTTTGACCTGGGGGGCAACCTGCTATTTACCTAAGTGTTTCTGAACTTTCTCACTCCTGGGCTGGATTTTTAGTTACATTTCTTCATTTATTAAAGCCTGTCTGTTCAACCTATCCATATATACTGATCTAATTACCCCTGTTACTCTCTGATTCCCTATCACCTCGAGTTCCATTTTCTCGTGTTTGATTTTGATCCATATAACCTTCTTCAGGCTAATTATATTTTCTATAAAGAGCCTCTCAGTGGACCCTATCTCTTGATCTACTCTGCCTGCAATTCTCTCTTTTTTCCCTTAAGTTACTGTATCTAGGCCATCTATATTAGAAATTATATCCAATCTTCTCTACCTCATTTCTGTTGAGCTCTTTTTCTGTCATTAGTGGTCAGTTTGTCTTCTTCATTTTGTTTTCTGCTCCATTCATTGTGGCCTCTCTGTTGCTGTTTCTGGAATCTGTTATTTTTCTCTTTTAGAATGTCCTATAGTATTCTCTGTAGAGTTGAATTGGTGGTTGCAAATTCCCCTAGTTCCTCTTTATCCTGGAAGCAACTTGTTTTTCCATCAATTTCTAGGGACAGTTGTGCAGGATATATCAATCTTGGCTGGAGGTTATTGTCTTTCAAAGCTTGAATTATTTCCCCCCACGCTCTTTGGGATTTGATGGTTTGTGCCGAGAAGTCTGCTGTAATTCTGATGGGTGTTCCCTTGTAAGTGATCTGTTTCTTGTCTCTGATGGCTTTTAATATTCTGTTCTTATATTGGATATATGGAATTTTGATTATTATATGCCTGGGTGTAGTTCTGTTTGGGTTGTAGGTGGCTGGGGTCCTGTATGCCTCATACATCTGAGTATCTTTACCTTTTCCTATATTAGGGAAATTCTCCTTGATTATTTCTGTGAATAGCCTTTGCAGATCATTTGTTTGTGTACCTACTTCTTCCTTTATGTTCTTAATTCTTAAGTTAAAGATCCTCTTATCATCTTCTAGCCTTTATATTATCATTGCTTGTTTCCTTGTTATTTTTAAGAAGTTTTTCATTTCATGCTCCCACCTTACAAATCTGTCCTCCAGTTCAGATAATCTATCCTTAGTTTCTTTCAAGCTGTTAGGCTGGCTTTCAATAGAGTTTTTAGTTTCCTGGTAATCTCTTTGAACCTGCTTCATGTATTCTAAGTTTACTCTATTTTCTCCATCAAACAATTCTCCTCTTTTTTTCTGTTCTTCCATTCCACCATCTGTTTTTTCTTGGGAGGTGCTTAGCATTTCTTTAACTATTCTACTTATATCTTGCTTTACTTGGTTAAAAACTTCACTTTTGAACTTGTCTATGAGGCTCTGGAGATATCGCTTTATGTCTATTGGTGCCATGCCTGATATTGCATGTTTTCTGTCCTCATTCTCCTTTGCATTTACCTTTCCTGGATCAGTGTTCTCAGAATTGGGGACTAAGGACCCTTCCTTGTTGCCTCCTCTTCTCATATTTTTTTGTTCCTTCCATACAGGTGTATATAGGAGGCCCAGTTTCTTTCTTTTTGGATTACAGTTTGTTTGAATTGCGCCGGCTAGGTCTTCCTGCCCACTGCAGTATACTAGGGAGACACAGACCCGGGCAGCCTATGCTGGGCCCACCCCTCCAGGTCAAGCTACTGAAGCCTTCACTACTAGGGTGCACCGCCAGGTGGTGGCATCCGTGGCGTCACCCAGGTCAGGTGTTCCCCACCAATCCCTCTTGAGAGGGGAATATGTGACTGAAGTCACTGCAGCGTCCTATTCCGACTAGTTTGCCCAGTCCCAGAATGTCCTCTGTTGGAGCCTACTTATCTATGGAAGTGTCCCCGTTCCTGTCACTCACTGCAGGTCGATGCAGGGCACCCTATCAGCTCTGCTCTCAGTTTGGTTCGCCAATTCCTGCTCTCAGAGCTTTCACATCTCTATCCCTGCTGTGCTAATTCAGATGCAGCAGCAGTGGCAGGAAATTCAAGCTGTGGTTTCCAGAGGTGCAGGTTTCAGTTTCAGCGCTGAGACTTTATCTGTTCCAGTCATAGCACCGGGATTGCATTTCCAGTTGGTTTCTCTCAGCTTAGTTCGTTCCTG